GTTGATCGTGGCAGAGAAGTGATGTTGGTGGGCCCTTGACCTCAATAGCAGAGTGAATGTAAAATGCTTTGAGATGATTTAAAACATGCAAATACAGCAAATATAAATATGAGTACAGGGGAGATGAAACGACCTAGCTAGCCATGGACTCTAAGGGGTACATTCCCTTATTCAAATACATTCCCGCGCCGCGACTACAACGACGACGACGACCAGGACTGGAACCTCCCAGTCCCGCTGCTTGAAAGTCCCCCGCACATACCAGACATGCGGGTGGCGCCACCTGATTGGCTCTCGCACGAGCAATTTCTGAAGTTCGACACTTCGCACATCATCACACCGCGATTGGCGCTGCTCGCACGTAACGACAACAAGCGCTACAACACCTGGTACCTAGACAGCTGCTGCGGCCAGCATATGGTGGGCTCCGAGCGTTACATATCCAACGCCGTCCCCACCCCTACAGTAACTTACGTCACTGTGGCGAACAACATGCGCCTGCGCGCAAGCGCACAAGGCATCGTCGTGCTCAAAGCACGTGGAAGCCGCACGCACATCACGCTTAACGATGTGCTGATCGTCCAGAACCTGCGCTTCAACCTCCTGTCCGTCGCACAGTCATGGACTGCGGCGTCGACCTCAGCACGGATCGCGAGACACGAGACATCCTGCTGCACTACGAATCGAGCACATTTCCCCGCAGGCAGATTGGACGAGCGCACTCCGAAAATGGAGTGTATGTCCTAGATTTCGACATTCCCGACTGCAGCGGCGACTCGCACGATTTGATTGATCTCGTGCCACTGCGCTTCGAGCACATCCACCGCAGGGATTGGAAGCACCCTGACGGCAGACCGTGGGTGCCGCATCATCCCCACCCACGCGAAACGGCGTTACACAACCCTGACCCAGATGGCATCTGCAGGGATTGTCACACGCCGACGACATCAACAAGCGCGATTGCCGGCCGCGGACTCGCCGCCATCGCTGAAGCAGAGCGCCACGCGCCCCCAGAGGAAGGGATGACGCAGCTCGAGCTTGAAGTTACCACCCACGGCATCTTCGGCACGCCAGAGCATCTCCTCATCGGTCCCCCCTCACAGCACCTTCAAGGCATGCTGCGCGGAACCGGCGTCGGCACCTTTGATGCCCATGGCGAGCCGCGACCCTACACCTACGAGAGGTTTTTGGCCATCTACTCCCATCGACGCGACTCATCGAAGATACTCACCGCGGAGCAAGAGGAAGAATTGGCGCGCCGCGAAGCTGAGGAGCTTCGCCAGCTAAGCCTCGCAGAAGCACGTGGAACCTTCGCTTGCGCCACCTGGGGAGCCGAGGCTGAAGAAAGTGCCTCCAATGAAGGGGGGTGGGGAAGCGCTGGAGGATGGGGAACAAGTGACACTGGCGGCTGGGGAGACACCGGCGGCACCTGGGCCAACGCGAGCGGCGGATGGGGCACCGCAACTAGCGCCGACAATAGCGGTTGGGGTACTTTCCGCGAAGAACGAAAGGGGGGAGAGTTAAGAGTGCGGCCCTAATGACATAAGAGTGTTATCCAGAGCATAACGATGGTTTTCATGCATTGTCGCAGACGCACACAACAATGGCGATTCCCTCAGCCCAAGGAGAGCACTTTTCGCGCGTTGCACACTTTGTGAAGGCTGCCCCCCATTCGTACTCGAGGCCATGGTTCTCAGACGTGGCCATCATGGGGACAGCACCAGACGGGGGAGATGTTGAATGGTATGGGAAGCTGTTGCTCCTGTTTCACACCAAGGAGAGGGGTTGCAAAAGGGAGCTGGCGTACGTGAGGTACTGGACCAAAACGGGCGAGGATGCGAAAACGGGATGCACTCGACTTGCATGGACGACAACCCTTTCCAAGTATTCTGTGGTCAACGTCGATGCGATTTATCGCGAGGTCCACGTTATCAAGGCGTTTCATAGCGACACCGCTTATTTGCTTAACAAATACCAACTTAGATAGTGTAGTGAAAGCATGCATCTGCGTAGGCATGATATAAAATAAATATGTTTTATAATGTTGAAGTAACAAAGGAGATTAGGTTTAGGAGCCTTAGCAAGGAGAATCATGGCGATGGTATCGAGAGGGAGAATTGGCCAAAGAGGTCTTTGATATTAGGCAAGAGTATAAGATATAGGAGAAGGAAGAGAGAAGAAGAGGGTACACCACCAGCAGTTGATGGTAATAACTAAACTAATACACTAGCAAGCTATAGACAGGTATAAGATATGCAATATCAATTAACACACCCCCGTAACTGCCTATGGCTATAGCTAGTGGTGTCTGGCACCAGGTCGCCTGGAGAGCAGTTGCTTGTAGCTGGGATATGCACAGAAACAGCGGTTGCTGACCGGCAGCACCTGTGAACGCCAGAACGGAGGAGGGCGCGGAGAGCGCGGAGGAGGGCTGGGATAGCCGGAGGGCGAAGGATGCTGGTCGCCCGCCATCTACGAGCAAACACAACTGTTGGTGAGGAGGAGGAAGCTGCTGGTGGTGCACAGGAGGAGAGCGGAGGAGAGGCGGATGGAGGAGAGGAGATAGGAGGAGGAGATGGTGCCACGGAAGGTAGAGGGAGGAGGTGCGGCTGGAGGAGAGGAGATAGGAGGAGGAAAGGTGAAGAGAGGCGGCTGGAGGAGAGGAGAGAGGAGGGGCGGCTCTGGTCATACCCGCCACCCCCACACCCCTTCCCCCTCCCCCCCACTGCAGCATGGGCGGCAAGGGAAGAGAGGATGGGCGGGGGTGCTGGTGCTGCCAGCCAACTCACGCCACCCTTTTACCTTCGCCCCCCGGCCCCGCCACATCCCCCCCCCAAAGCAGATGTCGCGGGTGAGGCGTGGCAGGGCGCGGGTGTTGCTGCTGGGAGCTCACGGCGGCCAACCGCCCCACACCACGTCCCTAGCGGGTCTGCTGGCGCGCTGGCGGGTCCGGAGGCGCATCGGTGGACCGCTGGCAGGGCCGTTGGCGGGCTCCCTTGCGCGCTGACGAGTAGGCTGGCGCAGTCGCTGGCGCTGGTGTTGACACACGTCGCTGGCGCAGGCGGCCGTCGTTGGCGCTAGCGCTGGCGCTAACGCTGGCGACGGTCGCTGGCGCTGGCACTGGCGCTCACGACCAGCGAGCGGGCGACGAGGCTGCACGTGCGCGGGAAGCTGCACGTGTGCGGCCGCGCGCGCGGCTGCTGATGCGCTCGTGACGGGACGGGGCGGGACAGCGCGAGGGGCGAGCAGTGAGTGGGGAGGGCATTGCGGGACGGGGCAGCCAGCACACGGTGTGCTAACGGGCTGCGCGACTGGTGGGCCCATGGTTCTTAGGTCCTAGGAAAGGACCTGCTCTGATACCATGTTGAAGTAACAAAGGAGATTAGGTTTAGGAGCCTTAGCAAGGAGAATCATGGCGATGGTATCGAGAGGGAGAATTGGCCAAAGAGGTCTTTGATATTAGGCAAGAGTACAAGATATAGGAGAAGGAAGAGAGAAGAAGAGGGTACACCACCAGCAGTTGATGGTAATAACTAAACTAATACACTAGCAAGCTATAGACAGGTATAAGATATGCAATATCAATTAACATATAACACAAGTTACACAAGATTAAACAAGACGTCGGATAGATTGTTGACGTTATGTAACACAAGTTACTTTGGTTTCTGTTAATCAGATTTACAATTTATATAAATACATGTAATAAAATAACAAGTCTCATAGAGCAAAGCATGATCTACACAACTTTAAACAATCTGTAATTGGACCAAAATTGGTCCGAATTTGCCTCGTCAAACATTAGCAAAGCAGGCCTAAAATGGGAACAACCCTGGCCTGAATTTGCCAGGCCTAACCCACGGTCAGAATCTGACGCGGCTCGATGTGCAGGGCGTCAGACTCAATGTGACCAAATTTTGACGCGCGACCAAGAGCAGACTGCGCTTCGACGAAAACAGGGTTTCCTCGCGCAAACCAAACAACCCAACCTCGAAAATGTTCCCAACCCCCCCAGATTGGAAACGCGGGTTTTTTGTGATGAGCATCACAAAAAAAGAGGTGAAAAGAGCTGAAAAGAGAAGAAAGAAGGGTTGACGATTGTTTGCAGTATGACGCCCAAAGCGCACATGAGGGCCTTGACTTGTCTGGCTCTTGGTAAAACAAAATACAGAAAACAAAGTGGAGCGGGGGGGGGGGGGGGAGGGTTGAGGATGAGATGGGTGGAGGGGTGGAAGGCAGGTAAGCGCAGCAGAGCAGAGCAAGAGGGGGAGCAGCGAGTGGGAGTGATGGGGAGGAGGATGGGCGTGGTGGGGATGGCAAGGCAACACGGTGGCACGACCCTTTTTTGCGGCCTGCTTCACAGCACGCCGTTTGTGGGAGTGCGGGTGGGTGCATGGCGGTTGCAAGGTGGAGGAGGTGAGGGCAAGGTGGAGTGGTGCTGTGCTGTGACTGCGCTGCTGCTGCAAGCTTCAAGGGTGGGAGTGGAGTGGGGTTGGTTGGGAAGGACTAGCATGGGTGGAAAGGTGGTAGTGGAAGGCAACCTGACACCCCAACACTAAAGGTCCTCACTTGGCGTAGCTGCAAATGGGTGCAAGGAAAGCACAGTACAGTAGGCAGCATGGCATGGCAGCAATGCTGTAGGTGCTGCCATGACATTAGGTGGCTACGTGTATCCAGTGTACCGTAGGCTTCAATTCAACCCTTGTTCTTTGTGCCCACTTGCAATGAATCATTGAATGAAAAAACCCTACCCTACTATACTAGCAAGCAGTGACAAGTGGATAAGGGAAGCACATGATTGGATTCGATTGGGCGTGCGGTGCAGTGGCATGCACAGTGAGGTGCGTGCATGAGGAGTGGCTTGGGAGGTTGAGAGTTGGGATGGTCCCATGTGATGTTGATGGTGCTGCCATGCCATGGTTGAGCGCATGCAGTGGTGTGGTGAAGCTGCTGCTCCCACCCCACCCCAGGTGCAGCAGCAACTGAGAGGCCCAAGTGGGTCAGGCGCGGCAAGGAGCTGACGTGGGGGAGTGGAGGGCGCAGCGCGGGGATGGGCGTGGCGAGGAGGGAGGGGGGGGAGTGGGCAGCAGGCGGGCAGCAGGGGCGGAGGAGCAGCAGGTGTGGCGGCAGGGCGAGTGGAGAGCCCCGTTGAGCCCCGCGTGGCTGCATCCCCGCCCTGCCCTCCCCTGCATGGCGCTGCACCCCTGCCGCCTGCCCCGCCCTCTGCCTCTGCCTGCTCCCACACAGCACCCGCGCAAGGCGCGCGGCAGCAGGGGCGCAGGAGCGCGCACGGAGGGGGGACGGAGGGGGAAAGGAGGGAAAAAAGGGGGAAATGGGAAGGGAAACAATGAGCGCGAAAGGAGGAGACGGGCAGTGGAAGAGGAAAAGGATCGAAGTGGGCAGGGTAAATGAGGGGAACGGAGCGGAAAACGAGGGGGGAAGGAGGAGGGAAGGAAGGGGCAAGGAGGGGGGAAGGAGGGAGAAAGGCGGGGGAAGAAAAGGGAATGGAGGGAGGAATGGTAGGGGGAGAGGAGGGAGAATGGGGGGGAAGGGGAGAGGACAGGAGAGTGAAAGGAGGCGAAAGAAGGAAAGGGGAGGGGATTAGGAAGGGGCGAGGGAAAATGAGGGCGAAAGAGGGGGAAGTGAGAGGGAAGCAAGGGGATAAGAAGGGGAAGTGAAGAGGGTATGGAAGGAGAGAGGAGGGGGGGAGGAAGGTGGAAGACAGAGGGAAAGGAGGGCGGAAGAGGGTGCGAGAGAGGGTTTGGTGCATGGGCAGGCGATGGCAGCAGTATGAAGGGCGGTGGCAGCGCGGTGATGGTTGGTTGGTGCGGTTGTTGCACTATGATCCGCGGCCATGCCCTCCCTGCCGCCTGTAGCCCCCACCGTCATACGGCCCACGGCGCCACATGCGCGCACGCATGGGGCAGGCGCGGGGCAGCAGGGGTGCAGGGGGACACAAGGGGGAAAGCAGCAGACTCGCAGAGAAAGAGGAGGGGGTTTGCAGGAAGATGGGGAACTGAGGGAACGGTGGTTGCACGGAGAGAGACGGAAATGGATGCATTAAGAGGGGGAAAGGTGGGTGAAAGGAGCGGGAAAGAAGGGGGAAATGAAGGGGAGAGGAGAGGGAGAGGAGGGGGGAGAGCAATGCAAGGTTGGTTGCGTGAATGGAAAGGAAATGAGCGGAATGTGTGGGGCAGAGGGGAAGGGGATTGGAGGGATGAGGGGGGATGCGTGGGGTGGTGTGAGCGCGGTTGACTGCCACTTGCTCTTCCCGCCCGTTCCCCGCTCCCGCCATGCCTCTGCCTCTCGCACTCACGGCGCTGCCACGCACTCATGCCATCTCACTCTCCACTCGCGCACTCACCCTGCCAACCCGCGCACAACGCACGCTCTTGCCGCCACTCGCGACTTGCGCCGCACGACTGCCGGGCAGGCGGGCGGCGAGCGCCACGATACGCGCGCAGGCGAAGCACGCAGGGGTGGTTGGGGGGAGCGGGGCGCTCATGGGCGGGTAGAGTGGGTGCGGTGCGCGCGGGCAGGCGCGAGGCACCTCGCATCACTCCGCAGCAGCGTCCCGCGCATCCGTCCGCGAGTGGCGGGCGCTGCCAATGGCGCTGGCGCGGGAATGCGCGCCTCTCGCGCACCTCGTCAAGCGCGCAGCTGCCGCTTCAGTGGCGCCCACGCGGCTGCAGGCGCGGCTGGCGGGAGGGCGGTGCGCGCACGCAGGCGAGGCGCGCAGCAGCCGCGCGCACCGCGCGACGTCGCTAGCGCTGGACGAACGCGGCACGAGCCATCCGTGGCAACGAACGCGCATCCACTGCACCGCGACACCGCAACATGACACACCGTCGACTTGCCACCACCACTCCCTCCGATCTGCTTCTCTCCTGTGCCAAATAGTGAATTCATACTCGGCACAAGCAGCCTTTAAATTCTTCATACTGTTTTGGCACAACTAGGACACTATTTTAACAAAACACACGATAAACAGCTAGTTCCAATAAAGTTCTAAGCTGGTGTGCATTTCCATCAACAATCCATAGCAAAGCAACGCAACAGCACGAGTATCGCGATATGCTCATATAGAGCACGCGGCAGCTCGAGTTTCGCGATATGCTCATATAGAGCACGCGGCAGCTCAAGTACCGTCATCACCCGGATATAAGACAGTGTTGAATAGTAGACAGGGGTTGTCTATTATACGGGTGTCTCTTATAAACAGGCTAGCCTGATTTTAAGACACCTATTTGTGTGTACGAGATAAGACATATGTGTCTGTCAGAATCCCAACCACTAGACCATTGGGATAAAAGGGCTTGTTAAGTAGCGGGTCAGTGCGCCCATAACCCCCCAGGACAACGAGCCTGTAACCCTTCCCTAGGATCAATCGGGGATCACCACTGGACCTCTGACACCCCCCCGCACTGGGATGCCTGAAGTGCACACACTGGGATTCGAACCCGAGACCTTCGCTCTAATAACATGTCAGAATCCCAACCACTAGACCATTGGGATAAAAGGGCTTGTTAAGTAGCGGGTCAGTGCGCCCATAACCCCCCAGGACAACGAGCCTGTAACCCTTCCCTATGATCAATTGGGGATCACCACTGGACCTCTGACAGTGTCTTATAATCGAAACTGCAATATTTTATAGTGAAAATTGAAGTACCGCGTACATTTTTACCTTTTCGACACGCGAATTCTGCCAGGTGCTGACTCACGTACTACCAAATTTGCCGCTGCAAGTATTCTCCATGACGTGGCGCCCCGAACAATGGTTGCCGAAGTGGCACCTTCGCAACATCCACACTCATAATGAGAAACTCCTTTCAAGATGTGTGAAAATATTTTGAAGTAGTTTAATAAAATTTCCATTTATAAGACTTATAAGACACCAAAAACCTCCCCAAATAGAAGATAACCCAAGCATTTTTTTTAGTGTATGAGATAAGACATATAGGTCTTATATCCGGGCGATGACGGTATCGCGATATGCTTATATAGAGCACGCGGCAGCTCGAGTATCGTGATATGCTCATATAGAGCACGCGGCAGCTCGAGATTCACTCGAAGGTTAACAGTCGCTCTAAGTCAACGGTCGCGACTGATGACCGACCGACAACTGCATCGGAGGTTACGCGATGCAACGTGGTATTTGTCGAGAATGAGAATAGTCGCAGTTATTGTAGCTATGTGTCAAGAATGAAAGTGATGGTTTTGTTAGAATAAATGTGCAGGAATAGTTGGATTAGTAAGAGTTGGGGCACAAGTACTAATCCTAGAAGTTCTGTACCCCATGAGGAGTGCCTCACTACAGCCTACAAGTGAGATTGCACTTTGACACACCCTCACATTACATTCAATGCCATCATCCCTGCTTGCTATCTTGACATATGTGGGGGACAACAAGACGGTCACAAGACCAGTCAAGCAACACAACAGAGCAAAGCAAAGCAAAGCTCAGGGTGGATCTCAAGGACACCACACAATCCGAGCACAAGCAAGCAGCCACAAGGCCAATTCACATGCAGAGTTATAATAGCAACGCAGTACACTGATCACAACCTAGCAAGAGTAAGCATGCATGTATAAATATAGATATCAGGGTACAACAAGTGCAAGATCAAGAGACAAGCAGTTGAGGTAGAACGTGCAGAAGCCCAAGAGCAGTGCAAAAACGCTGAAGATCACCAGACCCAAGGGCCTTGGTGAAGACATCAGCAGTGTTGGCCTGAGAGGCCACGTAAGAAAGGCGAAGCTGACCACGCTGCTGCAGCTCCCGAGTTAGAAAGTAACGGAGAGCAATGTGCTTCGTTTTGTACTCCAGTCTCTACTCCAGACACAAGGCAATCATTGCCTTGTTGTAAACGTACAGAATCGGAGGAGAACGAGGCTGCTCCCCCAAGTCTGTCAGCAGGTAGGTCAACCAGCGTAGCTCCTGTGCAGCCATGGCCCCGGCGTAGATCTCGGCCTCACAGCTGGAACCGAGCACATGAAAATAATGACTGGACCTCCACGAGAGAGAACCAGAGCCAAGACTGAAGGTGTAACCCTGTGACGAACGCTAAGTCGCCTGGTCGTCGGCCCAACAAGCGTCGGAGTGTCATGTGAGTACCACTGGACCCTGTCCTCCAAGCACCAGCCCCATGCTCGATGTACTGCACAAGTAACACAGTACCCTCTTCGCAGCTTCAAAATGCACCTTTCGGAGTCTACCGGGAGCCACGTAGTGAGCTAGGAGGCTGAGACGGTGCGCGAGGTCAGATCGAGTGCACGTCATCAGGTACATGAGGCAACCCACAAGCTCTGGATACGGACCACTCAGCTCTACGGACTCGTCCGAAAGTGGAGCTGAGAGCGAGTGGCCAGTAGACGGAGGAGTGGGCTGTGGCGAGGACCACGTGAAGCCGAAGCGCTGAAGGACCTGGTGCACCATGTGTGATTGAGTCAGGGTGATGGTGCGCCGTGCTCTGTCCCGGGTAATCTGCAAGCCAAGATAGCTACGCAGCTCACCCAGGTCAGTGTAGATGTAGCTCTCCTGCAGCTCCGCCTTCACTAGGGCCAGCGCCTCGGTGTCAGTAGTAGCAAAAACCAAGTCGTCGACGTATACGAGAACGTAGAACGGCGGCAGGGTAGTGTCGGTGCGTAGAAACAGCGACGGGTCAGCAGCGGAAGGAGCAAACCCAACAGCCACAAGTGTAGTCCTCAGTGTGTCGTGCCACTCGCGGGGCACCTGGCGGAGACCGTAGACCGGCCGCCGGAGGCTCCACTGGGTACCCGCAAGAAACGACCCAGTGAAACCAGGTGGGCGGCGCAGCCAGATCTCATCGTGAAGGCTGCCCTGCAAGAAAGCTGTAGAGAAGTCGAGGGAGTGCAGCTCGTAGTCACGCTGTGCTGCAACGTGTAGCAACACCCAAAGAATAGTAATCTTTGGGGTGGGGGAGAAGGTCTGGAAGAAGTCGACCCCCTATCGCTGACTGAAGCCTCGAGCAACGTAACGCAAATGAAGGCAGGCGGAGAACGCGGCGGCCGCTTCACTCTGAAAATCCACATGCCATTTACTATGTTCGCCCCAGAAGGAGGAACCTCGTCAACGTATGTGTCTGTGGACTTCTAGGAAGCCATCTCTGCATCCATGGCTGTCTGCCACTGAGAGGAGTACTCACCCGCGATCGCCTCAGCGTAAGAGCGCGGGGTCGGGATGTCCAGTGCATCCGGGTCTCCCTCAGGGCAAAGTAGCATGGATGCGAAACGAGGTAAAGCGGCCGCAAGACACTCAAGCTCAAACTGCATGTCCTCAAGGACGTCACTGCTAAGGGCAGGCTCACCCCCGACGGACGGAGGACAGGCAAACGCAGACTTAGTAACAAGACTCGCGACGTAGTCGAGACGACTCCAAGCTGCAAAGTCGACTAGCTCGGTGACTAGGGCAAACGCTGCAGTAGACTCAAAGTTAGGGTCAGTGACGACCGTAGCGAGGAGACGAGTGACAGTAGGACTGACAACATGAGCAAGGTCGGACTCAGGGTCAGAAATGTGCGGAAGAGAGGGCGCGGGAGGCTTAGGCCGGACAACACGCTGTGGAACAGAGGAAGGACGAAGTGTCATATTGTGAGTGCCTGGGACAGCAGGAGGATGAGGACGGGCGACACGACGAGCACGAACAGTTGTAAAAGCACGAGTCCCAGGCTCACGACGCTCAGTCAGGGACTCAGTCACCTCAGTGGGAGGAGTAGGAGCAGGCAATGGGGAGCCTGGCAGTAGTTGTGGCTGAGACTGGTCTGTCGGTAAATACAAGAGAGGTGGACCGAGGCCAGTGGAAGACGGGAGACTAAGAACCTGGTGAAGGACCAAGTCAGACGACGGCAGGGACGACTGCGGCTGCGGGTAGAAAAACAGTTGGCGCCGGGCAGTACCAGCAACTCCAGCTTCTCCAGTACCAGCAGCACCAGCACCTCCAGCACCAGCAGCTCCAGTAGCACCTCCAGCACCTCCAGCACCAGCAGTACCACCTGCTCCAGCAGCTCCAGCACCTCTAGTACCTCCAGCTCCAGCGCCTCCAGTACCAGTAGCACGTCTAGCACCAGCAGCACCACCAGCTCCGGCAGCTCCAGTACCTCTAGTACGAGCACCTCCAGGACCAGCAGCTCCAGCACCTCCAGGACCTCCAGCTCCAGCGCCTCCAGCACCAGCAGTACCTCCAGCACCTCCAGCACCAGCAGCACCAGCACCTCAAGCACCAGCTGGACCTCCAGGAATAGCAGCTCCAGCACCTCCATCACTAGTAGCACCTCCAGGACCAGCAGCTCCAGCACCTCCAGCACTAGTAGCACCTCCAGGACTAGGAGCTTCGGCACCTCCACCACCAGCAGCACCTCCAGTACCTCGAGGAATAGCAGCTCCAGCACCTCTAGCACCACCAGCACCTCTAGTACCTCCAGTACCAGCAGCACCTCCAGCACCTCCAGCAGCACCTCCAGTACCTGCACCACCTCCAGCACCTCCAGCAGTACCTCCAGCACCTCCAAAACCAGCAGTACCTCTAGTACCTCCAGCACCAGCAGCACCTCCAACACCTCCAGCAGTACCTCCAACACCAGCACCTCCAACACCTCCGCCATGAAGAAGAAGAAGTTGCGACAAATCGATGTCGCAAACGCATTCCTCTACGCACCTGTTGACGCCGAAATCTTCGTCGAACTTCCACACGCCTCTAACGGAGAGCCCAACCAAGTCTGCCAACTGGTAAAGTCCCTGTATGACATCAAACAGGCACCGAGGCTGTGGCAGCAGTACCTGCACGCAAGGCTCATTCGCATCGGATTCCGTCAACTACCACACGACCAAGGCATGTACCGGCTCACGAAGGGCGACGACTACATTCTGCTCATCGTCTACGTGCTTTACATCGGCTCAACTGACAACGTCACCACCTGATGTCAGTTATCCGGGGCCATACGGTACATCAGTTCTACCCAGAATTCACCCCTGCAAAGATCCTAAGGGCTATTTCTCAGCCGAAGAGGTTGGGAAGGACTACCAGCATGGGTGGAAAGGTGGTAGTGGAAGGCAACCTGACACCCCAACACTAAAGGTCCTCACTTGGCGTAGCTGCAAATGGGTGCAAGGGAAAGCACAGTACAGTAGGCAGCATGGCATGGCAGCAATGCTGTAGGTGCTGCCATGACATTAGGTGGCTACGTGTATCCAGTGTACCGTAGGCTTCAATTCAACCCTTGTTCGTTGTGCCCACTTGCAATGAATCATTGAATGAAGAAACCCTACCCTACTATACTAGCAAGCAGTGACAAGTGGATAAGGGAAGCACATGATTGGATTCGATTGGGCGTGCGGTGCAGTGGCATGCACAGTGAGGTGCGTGCATGAGGAGTGGTTTGGGAGGTTGAGAGTTGGGATGGTCCCATGTGATGTTGATGGTGCTGCCATGCCATGGTTGAGCGCATGCAGTGGTGTGGTGAAGCTGCTGCTCCCACCCCACCCCAGGTGCAGCAGCAACTGAGAGGCCCAAGTGGGTCAGGCGCGGCAAGGAGCTGACGTGGGGGAGTGGAGGGCGCAGCGCGGGGATGGGCGTGGCGAGGAGGGAGGGGGGGAGTGGGCAGCAGGCGGGCAGCAGGGGCGGAGGAGCAGCAGGTGTGGCGGCAGGGCGAGTGGAGAGCCCCGTTGAGCCCCGCGTGGCTGCATCCCCGCCCTGCCCTCCCCTGCATGGCGCTGCACCCCTGCCGCCTGCCCCGCCCTCTGCCTCTGCCTGCCCCCACACAGCACCCGCGCAAGGCGTGAGCAGCAGGGGCGCAGGAGCGCGCACGGAGGGGGGACGGAGGGGGAAAGGAGGGAAAAAGGGGGAAATGGGAAGGGAAACAATGAGCGCGAAAGGAGGAGACGGGCAGTGGAAGAGGAAAAGGATCGAAGTGGGCAGGGTAAATGAGGGGGACGGAGCGGAAAACGAGGGGGGAAGGAGGGAGAAAGGCGGGGGAAGAAAAGGGAATGGAGGGAGGAATGGGAGGGGGAAGGGAGGGGGATTGGAGGAAAAGAAGCAGTGAGAAGTGAAAGCAGGAGTCAGGCAGGCGAATAGGAGGGGGTTGGAGGAAGATGGGGAAATGAGGGAACGGTGGTTGGATGGAGGGGGAACAGGAGGGGAAGAGGAGAAGGAAAGCAGTGGGGGGTAGAGGGGGGAAGGAGAGGAAATTTAGGGGGACGGGAGGCGGATAGGAGGGTGACAGGAGGGGGAAAGGAGGGGAAATGGAGGAAATAGAAGATTAAGGAGGGGGAACGGAGCGAGGACGGGGAAAGGAGGGGAGGGGGAGAGGAGGGAGAATGGGGGGAAAGGGGAGAGGACAGGAGAGTGAAAGGAGGCGAAATAAGGAAAGGGGAGGGGATTAGGAAGGGGCGAGGGAAAATGAGGGCGAAAGAGGGGGAAGTGAGAGGGAAGCAAGGGGATAAGAAGGGGAAGGGAAGAGGGTAAGGAAGGAGAGAGGAGGGGGGTAGGAAGGTGGAAGACAGAGGGACAGGAGGGCGGAAGAGGGTGCAAGAGAGGGTTTGGTGCATGGGCAGGCGATGGCAGCAGTATGAAGGGCGGTGGCAGCGCGGTGATGGTTGGTTGGTGCGGTTGTTGCACTATGATCCGCGGCCATGCCCTCCCTGCCGCCTGTAGCCCCCACCGTCATACGGCCCACGGCGCCACATGCGCGCACGCGTGGGGCAGGCGCGGGGCAGCAGGGGTGCAGGGGGACACAAGGGGGAAAGCAGCAGACTCGCAGAGAAAGAGGAGGGGGTTTGCAGGAAGATGGGGAACGGAGGGAACGGTGGTTGCACGGAGAGAGACGGAAATGGATGCGTTAAGAGGGGGAAAGGTGGGTGAAAGGAGCGGGAAAGAAGGGGGAAATGAAGGCGAGAGGAGGGGGAGAGGAGGGGGAAGAGCAATGCAAGGGTGATTGCGTGAATGGAAAGGAAATGAGCGGAAAGCGTGGGGCAGAGGGGAAGGGGATTGGAGGGATGAGGGGGGATGCGTGGGGTGGTGTGAGCGCGGTTGACTGCCACTTGCTCTTCCCGCCCGTTCCCCGCTCCCGCCACGCCTCTGCCTCTCGCACTCACGGCGCTGCCACGCACTCATGCCATCTCACTCTCCACTCGCGCACTCACCCTGCCAACCCGCGCACAACGCACGCTCTTGCCGCCACTCGCGACTTGCGCCGCACCACTGCCGGGCAGGCGGGCGGCGAGCGCCACGATACGCGCGCAGGCGAAGCACGCAGGGGTGGTTGGGGGGAGCGGGGCGCTCATGGGCGGGTAGAGTGGGTGCGGTGCGCGCGGGCAGGCGCGAGGCACGTCGCATCACTCCGCAGCAGCGTCCCGCGCATCCGTCCGCGAGTGGCGGGCGCCGCCAATGGCGCTGGCGCGGGAATGCGCGCCTCTCGCGCACCTCGTCAAGCGCGCAGCTGCCGCTTCAGTGGCGCCCACGCGGCTGCAGGCGCGGCTGGCGGGAGGGCGGTGCGCGCACGCAGGCGAGGCGCGCAGCAGCCGCGCGCACCGCGCGACGCCGCTAGCGCTGGACGAACGCGGCACGAGCCATCCGTGGCAACGAACGCGCATCCACTGCACCGCGACACCGCAACATGACACGACTCGCTCGAGCGCCTAACCACCAACTCACACCGTAACACCATAATAACTAAACATAAATGAACTTTCGTATGATCTGAGTTAGCGGGAGCGCGTAATCCACGTAGCGCGATTGCGTGAGGGTGTGCCACACCATCGACTTGCCACCACCACTCTCCTGCGCCAAATAGTGAATTTATACTCGGTACAAGCAGCCTTTAAATTCTTCATACTGTTTTGGCACAACTAGGACACTATTTTAACAAAACTCACAATACACAGGTAGTTCCAATATAGATCTAAGCAGGTGTGCAATTCCATCGACAATCCTGGAAAGAAACATTACTTGACACCGTATTGCTGGGATGTGAGAATCTAGGAATGAAAGGGGTGTCGAGACTAGTGAGGAGGAGGATCAGGGTCCTCGACATCAGACATTTTTGTCTGTTTGTCTTAGTTTCCAGGCGATTTTTTTCCAGGTAATCTGATTTTCAAGGAATGATTGATATTTTCATCTGATTGAGTAGAAATGATTTTTTGTCTTCATCTGATTCATCAGAAATGTAATATATGTTTCGTCTGAAATCGAAACATGTTAGAGTACGGGGATTTCCCGCAGAACATGCTCTGACAGGGCAAATCTATTGTCAAAGCGTATCTGCTGTGTTGTGTAAGGTCGAATCTCTTGTGTCAGGACGAGTTTTCTATGATTGGATGAACATGTTGCGCTCTGACGTCGCGAATCTGCCGTGTCAGAGCAAATTTGCTCTGATTGGGCGAATATTTTGTGCTCTGACAGGGCGAATCTGCCGTGTTAGGGCGATTTTGCTGAGACCAGTGAAGTGCGAATCACACCAGTTTGTACTGCGAATGAAAGTGAAAGGTCCAGAAAAGTCAGACTCACCTTGTTATCCCACGTGCATCTACACGCTAGAAACTCTATTTTAATTGGTCAGACAAGTTCTTTTGAAATTTCTGATGCATCAGACACGCAAAGGCGGAATCCGTCTGATGCATCAGGGGGGTTCAAATCCTAGCGAGGACCCTGAGGAGGATACAAGTGTCAGAAACTAACGAGCAGGAATGCATGCATTGATCTGAAATGTGGTACAAGTACTAACCCTAATTGGGTTGTACCCCATATAGGCTACCCCAGTACAGCCTACACAACGTAAACAACATTATAGTTTGAAACACCCCCATAGGCAAAGTAGGGGAGAACAAGGGGTCACAAGACCAGTCAAGAAAAGCAAAGCAAGCTAAGGGTGGATCACAAAGTCACAACACACTCTAAGCACAAGCAAGTGGCCACAAGGCCAGTTCACATGCAGAGTTATGTATGAGAACAAGCAGTACAACGATCACAACCTAGCAAGTGTAAGCATGTAGGTACAAGTATATAGATTGACAGTACAAGCAAAGTCACGAAGAGAGCAAGTGAGGGAAAGTAGGCACAAGGCCTAAAACAGTACGAAAACGCTGATGATCACGAGGCCGAAGTACCTTGGTGAATATATCAGCAGTGTTGGGCCGAATGGCCACGTATGCAACGAAGCTGACCACGCTGCTGCAACTCTCGAGCAAGGAAGTAACGTAGAGCGATGTGCTTCGTCCTCTGCTCCAGTCTGTGCTCGTGACACAAGGCAATAATGGCCTTGTTGTCTACGTACAGAACTGGAGGAAAACTAGGTCGCTCTCCCATGTCATTCAGCAGGTAGGTAAGCCAGCGTAACTCCAGTGCAACCATGGCCCCTGCGTAGATCTTAGCCTTACAACTGGAACTGAGAACAGAAGACGGGCACGTAGACCGCCAAGAAAGAGAACCGGAGCCAAGGCTGAAAGTTTAACCCTGTGACGATCGCTGCGTAGCCATGTTGTCAACCCAAGATGCGTCTGCATGGCCAGTGAGAACAACTCGACTCCGTTCTCCAAGCACGAGCCCCATGCCTGACGTACTGCACAAGTAGCGTAACACCCTCTTGGTGGCCTCCCAGTGCTCTGGTCGGTGTCTCCCGGGCGCAACGAAGCGTACCAGGATGCTGAGAGGGTATGCAAGGTCAGGTCGAGTGCAGGTCATCAGGTACATGAGGCAGCCCACAAGCTCTGGATACGAGCCACTCGGCTCTACGGACTCGTTCGAAGGTGGAGCAGAGAGCCAGTGACCGGTAGGCAGAGAAGTGGATTGTGGCGAGGACCAAGTGAAGCCGAAGCGATGAAGGACCTGCTGCACCATATGTGACTGAGACAGGATGATGGCGCGGCGTGCTCTGTCCCGGGTGATCTGCAAGCCAAGATAGCTGCGCAACTCACCCAGTTCTGTGCACGTGTGTCTCTTCTGCAGCTCCAAATTCACTAGAGTCAGTGCCTCAGTGTCAGCAGTGGCAAAAACCAAGTCATTGACGTACACGAGGATGTAGAACAGCGCCAGCAAAGTGTCGGTGCGCAGAAACAGCGACGGGTCAGTAGTCGAAGGAGCAAACCCAAGAGCCGCAAGTGTCGTCCTCAGTGTGTCGTGCCACTTACGAGGCGCGTGGCGGAGACCGTAGACTGACCGCCGGAGGCTCCACTAGGTACCCGCAGGAAACAACCCAGTGAAGCTAGGTGGGCGGCGCAGCCAGATCTTCTCGTGCAGTGTCCCTTGTAAGAAAGCTGTGCTGAAGTCAAGAGAGTGAAGCTCGTAGTCAAGCTGAGCGGCGACGTGCAACAGCACCCGAAGAGTAGTCATCTTCGGGGTAGGGGAGAAGGTCTCGAAGAAGTCAACTTCCTATCGCTGACTAAAGCTTCTAGCAACGTAACGAGCCTTGAAGACAGGCGGAGAACCCGGCGGACTATGTTCGCCCTAGGAGGGGGAACTGCGTCGACGTAAGTGCCTGTGGACTTCCAGAATGCCATCTTTGCGTCCATAGCTGTCTGCCACTGAAAGGAGTAGGGACCCGTAATCGCTTCTGCGTAAGAGCGCGGGGTCGGGATGTCTGGAGCATTCGGGTCTCCCTCAAGTGCAAGTAGCATGGGCACGAGATGAGGTACAGCAGCTGCAAGACACTTAAAGTTCTCCTGCCTGTCCTCAAGGACGTCCGTGCCAAGAGCACACTCACCCCCGACGGACGGAGGACAGGCAGACTCAGACTCAGCAACAAGACTAGCGGCGTAGTCGAGACGACAAGCAGCAGCAAAGTCAACAAGCTCAGCGACAAAGGCAGACGCAGTAGTGGACTCAAACAAAGGGTCAGTGACAACAATGGCTAGGAGACGCATGACAGTAGGACTGGAAGCACGAACTAAGTCAGGCTCAGGGTCCGGACCGTCAGGAAGAGAGGACGCAGGAGGAGACGGCATGGGAACTCGCAGTGGAACAGAGGAAGGACGAAGTATCATACTGTGAGTGCCGGGGACAGGAGGAGGACGCGGACGCGGAGTACGACGACCAGTGCGACCAGCGCGAACAGGTGAGGCAGGGCGAGACGCAGGCTCACGACGCTCTGTAAGAGAGGCTGTCTGCTCATTGTAAGGGCATGGAGCAGGCAGTGAGGAGTCTGGCTGTAGCTGTGGCTGCGACTGGTCAGGCGGTGGACACAGCAAGGGAGGAGTAAGGCCAGTAGAAGACGGAAGACTAAGAACCTGGCGAAGTGCCGAGCCAGGTGGCGCCAGAGACGACGGCGATGGCGGAACGAAATACAGTCTCCGCTGCACAGTGCCTCCAGCACCAGTACCGACAGCTCCAACACCCCCACCGCCAGCAGCACCACAAGCTCCAGCAGCTCCAGTACCTCCAGTACGAACACCTCCAGGACCAGCAGCTCCAGCACCTCCAGCACCTCCAGCACCAGCAGCACGTCCGTGCATCCGTGCAGATCGCCACACGCTGTCCGCCAGGGATAAAGGTATCAACCCAAGCATCCTAAAGGACGGCGTTACTCACCAAGTTCGTAGAGAACGAGGGGAGGTGAAGACCTGACATTGAGCCAGACGAAACCGCCGGACACGGGAGAATAGTGGAGGAACGTGCACGAACCAGTCCCCAAGAGGGGTCAGCCAGAGAAACTGCAACCGGTGCTGCGAGTGGTATGATTGTGGTGTTGTCGTGAAAGAAGCAGCGAGAAGCACTTGAGTCAAGCGTGAAGGTGTGCAAGACCTCAGCAGGCGCAGTACCAGAGAGAGCAAACTCACTAGCACCTAGAGCAGACTCACCAGCACCTAGAGCAGACTCACCAGCACCTAGAGCAGACTCACCAGCACCTAAAGCAGCAGCCGCTATACCAGGGTCGGACGGCACATACATGTAACAGTCATTGTGAGTACTAATAGTCAAAGCATACATGGCAGTGAGGATAGTGTCATAGTATAGAGCAAAGATATCCACCTTGTTCCGAAGCAGCTCTAGCCAGCGGGGGAGCTTAGCCTCGTTGTCAAATACTGCACGCCAGGCGTCGCTCAGACAGGCGAAGCAGCGAGCCTGTGTGTGACCAACTTTCCCGCAAGTCTGACCAGCCCGATCACCTGTGCGAATGAAGTACGTGCAGCGGACAGTACTCCATGTCCCCCCAATCTGAGCGTACCACTCACGAAGCTGCTGGGGCGTAAGGGTCTCGCGCAGACGCCGCTGCACCTGCATCTGGCCATCGCCAGAAACTCCGCACTGAACAGCTCCACCGCGACTGCTACTACGTCCGCCGCCACTACAC